GAGCGTCTGCCCCCTGGTGGTCAGTGTGTGTCTTAGTGACCAGTCATTCCCAGGCATTCTGCTGTTAGGGTCAATTTGCATATTACCCTTTTATTATATAGGATATTTATAATTATTCTAAAATATATCAATTAAATTTAAACTGTTTTTTTATATTAAAAATTTGGTTGAGAGCATAGAATTAATCCTCTTTCTTTAATTAGACCATATAAAATATTATATCTAAGTTCGAAATTTTACCACATGTATTACAATGTATTTTGAATTATTAATTTCTCTAGAGAAATTACAAGAATTATTTCCTCAAAAATAAATTTCTATACTTTATGCATTTTGTTATTACAACTATATGATTTTTCCCAACTTAATTTGAACTTTAAACTCTTAGAAGCCTCAAATTTTTGGTGGCAAGTTAAATACTTAACATTTCTCAGATTAATAATAACTTTACATTTCAAAAATACAAGAAAAAACAAAGGTAGAAATAAAAATACAAGACATATTTGATTAATAGATTTAATTCTATCCTTTAGATTTCTCATATGAGGCAAACTCAGATTAACATTTCAGTACTTTGTTATTTCAAAATACCTAGATATTTAATAAATTTTATTATTTAGTTCAGTAAACTTTAAAGCTTTAAGTTGCCAAAGGCTTTGGAAGCAAGCCTGGTCTATTTAAATGTAAATCGTCACATTCTTCCCTTAGAGGTTGTTGTTGTGGGATCAGTGCAGCCCCTTCCTCCAACAAGGAGTGAACCCAGTTTTCCCTGGGCTACTGGACCCCCACTATCAATATACCCATAATTATCACTGGAAAGCTTTACCACAAATTCTTTAGTTACATCCATGTTTCAACAATTTTGAGATTTTAAAGCCAATTATTATTATCCAAGGCATTTTCTTTGGCAAATTCTGTAACAGAGATAACTTATTGGCTTTTTGTGGCATTAAGGTTAACTTTGGAATGTGGTCTATTATTATTTAAAAACTACCCTTTATTATGAAAATACCAATCTTATTGCTTAGAACCTGCCTGTATTTTTTCTTTTGGATTATCTCCACTATCTTTTTGAGGAAAAAAACAGCTTCAGGTTTATTTTGTAGCATCTGTAAAGAGATTAAATTTAGCCCAAAACCTGTCCAACATTGGATGGAGTGCTCTTTTGTTTTAAGCTAGCTTTTTCTCTTTCTGAGTACAGAAATCCCAGATGCATTCCTAAATTCTGTAAAACTTTTTTTAAATTTTTTTATTGATTAAGTTATTACATATGTGTCCTTATCCCCACGTTCCCCCCTATTCCCCCACTCATGCCCTCACCCCCCTGTTGTCTGTGTCCATTGGTTAGGCCTATATGCTTGCATACAAGTCCTTTGGTTGATCTCTCCCCCTGACCCCCACCCTCCCCTACCTTCCCTCTGAGGTTTGACTGTCTGATTGATGCTTCTCTGTCTCTGGATCTGTTTTTGTTCATCAGTTTATGTTGTTCATTATATTCCACAAATGAGTGAGATCATGTGGTATTTATCTTTCTCTGACTGGCTCATTTCACTTAGCATAATGCTCTCCAGTTCCATCCATGCTGTTGCAAATGGTAAGAACTCCTTCTTTTTTACCACTGTAAAACTTTTAAATGACGAATCGGGGGAAAAACATGGCGAGAATGAGACTTTTTAATTGCACTCTCAGGAGTGGGCATACATTTTACAGGATCACCACGTGTCTCTCCACCCCCACATCCTGTTTCCTTTGGGGAAATTTAGCAACTGACCTGGCTGCCCAGGTGATTTCTTTTCCCAATTAAACTCAAGGCATGCTTAATATACTAACAATAAACACATTAAACTAAACAAAAATGACAGATAAAACAGACAAGCAGTCACCCATAACACAAGACTTAATAAATCACAGTTCTTTTCCGGAATCTTTTCCTATTCCGCTCTCCAAGCATTGACTAGCCTTTAAAGTTATTTAAGCTAAAATCTGCCTTTCCCAAGGAGTCCTATGGTAATTTTTAAACAAAGCATCAGAGTCTGTTCCCCAGTGAAAGAGCTGACAGCTCCACCCTCTCTAGCTGCCAAGTCTTTCCACTCCAGAGGCAGAGGATTGAGCAGCTTTTTAGTTTTTATAGACTTTCAATCCCCAATAAGAATTAGGCATTTTGCAATTTGAACAAGAACCCACATAGTTAAATATGACAAGGGCACTCTTTTTCCTTGAGCATGATTTAAGAAAGTACCTGTTGACATTCCAATTTCTTTATCCTTGAGCAGATAGGCTAAAAATTTACAATGATATTTATGCCTTTGAATCGAAATCTTCCCCATTATACTCTGGCTTGAAACAAAAGACATTCCCACCCAGTCTGGATTCGAGACTTCCAAAGCTGGTGCAGGCTTTATGCACAGTTAATCTCCCCACCGAATTTACTGGTGGACCCCTTTACCTTTACCAGGGATCTCCACCTTTACTGGTGGAAAACTATTTTTCTTCGCTCTGGTGAATCTTCTTCTCTAGATGTCTTTGCCTGGGACACCATAAATGCCGGGGTCATTTCTGCATCTGCTAGAGTTCAAGGAATCTGGAGAAGGCACTGTGGACAAATTAATATAGACTAGAGAAGAAATATGAATTTGGAAGGCATTTTTGAGAGCCAGACAGAAACTTAGTTCTAGTGACTAAACCCTCTGAATCTCCTGACACCTGGCATTTTATTCCTACCTTTTGCCCTATAGAAAAGCACATATACATATCAAAGGTAAGGTTTGCTAAACAATAAAGTATTATCAGGATAGGGGAATTGCCCTTGGCTGTCTGCCAGCAGGCAATAATAATGCAAATCTTCAGCCCTACTGAATATAGAAGCCCATCAACCTTTTGAAGACTTCTCACATTTATTATGACCTGCTGGACTTAGCTTCTAGCAGGTGACCAGACAGCTCTCATGTTCAGCTGTTGTAATGTACCCTGCGAATCACAGAAGGACGCCTCAAGAAGTCGAATTAAAGAGTCACATTTATTGCAATCCGGGACTATGAGGGG